ACACACACACACACACACACACACACACACACACACACACACACACACACACACACACACACACACACACACACACACACAGAGATGGGGCCATCACGGCTGTTTGCGCATTGGCTGACATGGGCAGAGCTGTGTACGTCAACATTTGTTCATGTGTCGTACGCGGCGTTTGTCCTGATACGGGCGATAGTGGGTGATTTAATGGCAGCGTATTGGCAGTTCATTGGACGTCTGCTACTGCCTTTTGCGATTTTGAAGACCCTTTGGTGGTCCAGGAGCAAAGTAACTTCAGCGGTATATGATCTTCCCTTCGCGATTCTCACACGGACCAAGTCATGTTTAGATATGGATAATACTTTCAGCGGCGGCGGAGTACGTCTGAGTTTTCTCCCAGGAAGAAACCAGTGCGAGAATGACGCCGTTATGCACAGCGGGTTATCAAGCAACGGCGCAAGTTCGGATGTTGTGAGGGCGCCCCCCAGCGATGATGCGCCCATTGTTCTTGTTCCGGGCATATTTGGATTTGGTGCTGAGGTGAGGTGGATTGAATCACCATGCGTTCTTTCACCATCCGATCTGTTGCCATGTGTCCTTTCTTTTTTTTTTTTTCTTCTTTTTTTTTTTTCTTTTTTTTTTAAATAACAGAATGCCCCTTCTATTCTGGGGAGCAACAGTCCGGTTACTTGTCACCGGAAAGCATGAGAACGCATGGCAATGTTTATCAGGAAGACAATTAAAATCCCAACCAACCACCAAGAGGATCTCAAGAAAAAGTAGTAGAAAATATAACTAGGAAAGATAAAGAGGAAAAACCTGATTTAATTCTATTAACCCCTCATGTACTTCTAGTCTCTCCCTGCCTTGCTTTCTCCTCCCCCCTACATCATCTTCGCATCTCATTCCGCCTTCTCCTCTGGGACTTATAGCTGCTTTTTCAGGGCAGTTATTACCTTTTCCATGAATGGGCTTAAACCACCAGTACACCCAGGCCTGGCTGCTTGGCTGAACGGCCAGCGGCACACTTGTTTTCTTTTTTGACTGGCGCCGCCAAGCACGCACAGATGTGATAAATGATGTTTTGTCTGTTGTTATGTTCGCATTTCAACACAGAAAATGGGAAAGATTTCCTATTGGGGTGGAGCAGAGAACCGAGCTGATCGTGTGTTTCTTCCAGAGCTGGGGCCGTTGTCGAGCATGCATGACAGGTAAGCGCTGCTGCATCATCAAAAGATCGACCCGTTTCATATACTTTTTATATCTTTTTCCCCTACCGATACTCTAATTCAATATGGCTATGTATATGTGGTCATAATGTTTTCAATTAGCAAAAAACTAAGAGCAAAAAAAAAAAAAAAAAAAAGAAGAGCTTTTGGTGACGTAGTGTGGGTTGGTCGAACTACGAAGGTGAGAAGGGAGTTGTTGGGGTCTGTTTGCGAATCATCGAACACATCACCCCTAAAGGAATCATCTTCCCCATCCTTCCTCCCCCTTCTTTATCTTCTCCTCCCCCCCCCCTAAGGGAGTAATCTTAATCTTCCTCACCTTTCCTCCCTTTTCTTTATCTTTTTGTCTCCTTTGCCGAAAGTTGTCAACATTACCGTTGCTCCTGTCATTGAATTTGTTAGCCTCATCGTCATCCTTCCTGTTTGTCCTTTTCATTTGTCCTGTCGTCGAACTTGTTCTACCGAAGCAAAAACAAATGCTTGTGGCTGCAATACTGTCCATACAAACCTTTCCTCTCATTGGTGGGCGGCATTTTTGGAAATGTTTGAAGGGCTTGCGAGTTGTTCTACCAACTGAAGGGAGGGAGAGTCAATTTTGGAAAAGAGCACAGCCAGCGCTATGGGCACTGCCAGTTTGGGCACACCTACTCAGGTATTTACAAGTGCCAAGCACCCTCTCTCTCTCTCTCTCTCTCTCTCTCTCTCTCTCTCTCTCTGTCTCTCTCTCTCTCTCTCTCTCTCTCTCTCTCTCTCTCCCTTTGCGTCTGTCTGTCTGTCCGTCCATCCCCCCCGTCCGCCCGCCCGTTTGTCCAATTGTCCGTCCGTCCCATGTTGATGTTTCCAACCGTCGATACCGATACCGGTCACTTTTATGCTCGGCAAATGCATTTTTGGTTGGTCAATTTTGCTCCGGATAGACTGGTGGTTCTTAACCACTACCTTCGTCCCCCGAATACAATGTACGGTCATTATAGCTGTATTTAGACTGAAAGATACCCAAATACAGCTATAATGACCGTGCATTGTATTCGGGGAAAGAAGGTAGTATACCCGGCCCTGAGGGCCTTCCACTGTGCGCCACCAGCGGCACCCTTCTTTTCTTGCTTGGCGGGTGCTGCCAGCCATTGTGGTCCGGTATCGCTGAGCCTCCGAAATGATCGTGGGGCATGAAAGGTTTCTCCACGAGGCTCGGGCCGTGTAGTTGCGGCTTAAGCACATCGAGGTTGCAAAATTTCAATGTGGTATCCAAAGCTGCCCTTTAAAATTATTTAAAGCTGCCTTTTGGAATTGTGCTATATTTCTTTTGTTTCGTAGTGCAGAGTGCTTACATCTAATTATGCGTGACTTAGGCTTCCAAGATTGGCATATGACTACTAGCGAGGTCAACAAGGTAACAGACACTAAAATACTACAGCAAAAGTGCCTTCGAAACTCGGTATCAACGTGGCTGATCCCTGCAACCCTCCCCCGTCTTCCCTATCTCCTTTTGCTCGGACCGATGCGGCCCCATGAAGAAGAGGAGTATCGCAATGGAGAAAAAACCGCCACGTGAGGAGGGGTACCATAGCGTTGAGGAGAAAAACTTCGACGTGCAACAGTGTTATCCCGACCAGCTCAGCGGTGTGCACACATTCCTCCCTTGTTTTGTTTCCTTATCAGAAAAAGAAGAGCAAAAGGGAATGAATCTTCCGCGAAAACGCAAGAAGATACACCGCCACCGTCGCCACGCATTAGCACGCAACCTTCATTATTTGTACCACCGAATCTACTTCTCAATCCCAAAAATTGTCACTTCCATCAGCTTTGTCATCCTTCAAAACCTCATAATCGCCTTCCAGCTCGCCCGATTTCATCAAGAATCGGGCAAACTATTTGTATGTTGATGTCGCCGGTCACCTTTTTTCTCCTCCATAGCACCACGCAACTCCATTCTTTCACACCTTGAAATCTACTCACTAATATTAAAAACGAACTTCATAATCTAACTTGCCTTGTATAAAAACCTCTACGTACTACTTTAGTTCACTCGATTCTATTGAGAATTGAGTGTCGATTCTATTGAGAATTGAGTGAGTTAGATAGATTTCATTCTGCCATAGCCGTCGGTCCGAACATCTTCTCGCATATTATTTTCTACTCTAACTTTCTTTTCACTAACTTCTGAACCGACAGTCTGTAGAGTTTTCGTTTTCCATCTGGTGTGGGTGAGTGAGTGATAGTCTGCTTTGATTTTCGTCACGGGTACCTTGATGGCAGTGGTTGGTGGTCCCCACCTCCTCAGAGGGGTATCAGTTGTGGGGCAGTCAGTGATGCTTAACCGCAACCGGTGTTACGGTGGATTATCACTTACAGTGTAATCAGTTAGGGGATTCTGCAGACTGTTGAGGGTTCAGCCTCCCGATGAGTCGGTGAAACTCCGATGAAACAGTTTGTCACAGCCCCTTGTTTGTTGTCCTCTTCTCCCTGTCTGCCTATGGTTTACCGTAGGTAGCTCCTGGTTAACGATATATAGTATATACTATTTTTAGTATTTTCTAGTTTCCTTTATAAGTCTTCAAATGCAAGATGCGCTGGAGAGAACCTGCACTTCTATTTCCCTCGCCGCATACCTAGCATGCGCCGTGCGACGCGGGCACAGTTTGCATGCGCACTCTAGAAAGGAAAGTGAAATATTATTTGCAAGCTGTGCTTAACATGGGTCGTCATTATTCCGTAAGATCCTGACTTTTGTGCTGTGTAGAGCTTTGTCTTTTTGTGGATGAAAAAGCAACAGGAATGACTTTTCGAGCTTTTGTCCTTTGTGGTTGTTGGGCGTCAAGTTCGCCGCCAACCTTCAAATTGCTGCTTGAATTTGCAGTTACAGTTATACGATATGAGCTTGAGGGCATCCGCTGGGACTTTTTGTAGTCATCCCTGGACGTAATTGCGTTTTTTTTTTTGGCGGGGGGCACGGGAGGGAATGTGTAAACACTTGGAGGAGACCTCACCTCTAAAAGTAAAATTTAACGAAAAAGTGATTTTTTTTCTTTCTCCGTCGTAACATATTATTACAGTGATTACACTGATAATTTGTGATAAATTGATAATCATTGTTTGTTTTGGAAAAAAATGGCATTTCTTCTGCCCATTGCACACGTCTTTAAATTCAGATCCTCATGGAAATTGATTTGCGTGAAATTAGTAGTAGGGATAATTTGCAAAATAGTAAAAATAGCCCCATAAGTTGAAAAATATACCAAAATGCCCCTGTGGGTAGAGCGGAATATCCTTTTGGGCCGAAATCTTTGTGTTATATCCCTGTCAGGCGGGTGTGCAAATTTGCAATCTGGACCTCGCCATCTGGGCCTTGCCCTCTTGCAAGTGGGCCTTGGAAAACTTGGTTGGTTCCTGGGTATTTTGCAAAGTTGGATGATAACCCGGTAGGGGTATATTGCAAAGATGGGGGGTCCGACCGACACCAGGGGTATTTCACAAAAAAAAAAAAAAAAATCGTCAGAGGGGCATTCTGCTCTGCCCACATCTTTCAGGGGCATTTTGGCATAGATCTCAACTTGTGGGGGATATTTTGCAAATTATCCCTTAGTAATAACATGCCAAAGACAATTGAAAGATGTGCTGGTGTATCAAAACCAAAATGAGCACATTTCCTATTGATTAGTATTTACTATTTACTATTTAGTCGTTACAATGTCTCATCATTCTTTCCGTGTGCTTGTTCAAAATGGCATGCTGGATCGTGGATTGTCTCCGGCCCTCTGGTTTTGTTAGTGCCTCTGCACATAAATTGCTCCCAGAGGTTTTGAAATGTCCTTTTTTTGCTTATTCAAATTCTTACCAGGACTGTTAAAACGCCGTGTTACGGGCGGGATCTGATGCTAATCGGGGTCCTTTTGATGGCTTGCTTTCCTCGCTTTTGGTGGTGTGTTGGCAGGGCTTTATCCTGAATGGGACAAAGATCATCCGGTGCACTTTGTAGGTCATTCGTCCGGCGTACAGGCCGTGCGTCTTCTGCATACAATGCTAGATGAGAAGGTATCTCCTCATGTTGGTGCGGAGGCACCAACACAGGGTTCCAAGCCTCCAATCCATTGTTTATGTCTTCCCAGGACAGTGGATCGGCCATCGCTCAACTGTTGCAGTTTTGGGATTCCTGGGTGTGTGGGCAGTTAAAGTGCCTGCATGCCCAGGGCCCCTTCTTTCGTTTAGGGCTGTGCACGTTGGTATTGCTGGGCAGGCCAGTTTGCTTTGGTTTTGTCGGTTGAGCGTCTAGGAGTTTTTTTTGACTGATAAGAAGTGCCTGCATGCTGTGTGGCCCAGAGTTCTCACCAACCATTTGAGGGAGTCTATACACTTGGGGATAGATAGTAGGGACCGCGTGGCCCGCCCGAGTTCCAAGTGCAGCCTTTCACATGCATGCAACCTTGCTGTCCCTCCCCATTACGAGTAAAGTGATTTAGGATGGCGTTTATTTCAACACTACCTCCATCCTTTCCCCTTGTGAGAAAGCCAACTTACAAGACCCCTCCACACACTCCCCCCTCCCTGCCAATGTGCGCAGGAAGCGTTGGGCGATGCCACGTCGTACTTCCCTGTCCCTCAGCCCACGGGTGGAGATCGGTGTGAGGCCAGTGCCACACTCTGTGGCTCTGTCATCTTGCGCCGGAAGCGATGGCCCGGTACACTTCCTGTACCTTCCCCTCTGCGTAGAAAGCATCGTGAGGGAGCTGCTGGCATTCCTGCTTCCTTACGCCGTCTGTTGAAAGCATTGTGTGACACCCAGGTATACACAACTCCCTCCATCCCCACATGTATGGTAAAGCGTAATCGGACACCCTTCAGCACTTTGTCTTCCTCCTCTCATCTACACAAACACCGTGTTATATCCGTTGACCCCCTCCCTCTCTTCCCCTTGTATGGAAAGCATAATGCAATGGTCTTTTTGACATTTCGCCTGTCCATAGCCGTGAAAAAGTACATTCTGACACCCCTCGATACTCCCTCGCAGTTCGTCTGGGTGTGGAAAATGGGACATGCTTCTCCTCACTTCCCCGGTGTGCTGAAAAAGCAGAGTGCAACACCCCTCGCCAGAGTCGCCCCTCCCCCGATCGATCCCACCAATATTTGCGGAAAGCGCTTCTCAACACCCCTTGACATGACCCTCCCTTCCTCCCCACCATGCATAAGAAGGCATTGGTAGAACACCCTTCACTTTCTCCTCCCTCCACAAATGCAGGAAAAGCATCGTGTAATTCCCAGTGACACTCCACATACCTCCCCTTGTGTGCGAAATCCCCTTTCTCCCGTTGGCAAAGCGTAATGCGCTCTCTCGCTGCCCACATGCTATGGTGGACCACCGTGCCCCTGCTTTCCACGCCCTCCCTCCATTCCCCCATGTATGTGAAGCATGATGTGACAACCGGTGACATTTGCCTCGCCTCGCCTCATCGCATGCAAGGTAGTGCACCACCCGTTAGCGCTCGTCATCACTCACCTGATACATTTGTAAGTGGGCCACCGCTTGATACTCCCCCTCCCTAACTCAAAGCTTGAACCTGTCATCCACAAAATGCTCAATGGACTTATGCACCATACCTCTCTCTCTCTCTCTCTCTCTCTCTCTCTCTCTCTCTCTCTCTCTCTCTCTCTCTCTCTCTCTCTCTCTCTCTCTCTCTCTCTCTCT